GTCTGATAATGGGTCTGAGTTTATAACAAGTGCTTTAAAACATACCTGTGAAGTGTTCAAAATACAGCTTGTTCATGATCATGCCCGCCACCCCCAAAGCCAAGAAAAAATTGAGAGATTTAACCAAACACTTGGCTGGCATTTGACTAAGATGTTATGGGATGAAGTATCTGAAATTCAAAACTATAGATAGGTTGATGTTCTTTTCTTATTTGTTATTGCTTATAATAAAGCGCCACATGAAGCACATCAAAAATCACCTTACGAAGCATTTTTTGGATTTAAAATGCATGGAGTTTATAATACACCTGGGGAAACAATAGCTATTCAAGATATTAACAACAACCAAGCTACCTTTGTGGTCTATGCGATGCAAGTTAAACGTGTCCATAAAGAAATTGAGCAAAATGCAGCAAATTATACAAATAAAATGGTGATTCGTGGAAGTGTTCATCGAAAAAATTGGCTTTTGAATCAGGAGATAAGGTTACAATTGCTTATGATCATAATAATAACCAAAAAATACGTAAACAAAAATTGGAGCAAACTAGCAATGCTACTGAAAAGGTAATTAGTATATATAATAATAATAAGACAGTTCGGGTTGAAGTAGATGGTAAAATAAAAAATTTGCCTGCTAAAAATTTAAAAAAGCTTCGTCATTAAAAAAAAAATTAAATATCGTTATTAGAAATCTTATAATTAGGCGATTAAAGTAGTATACAAACTCAATAAGGATATAATGTGTATAATGCATATATAATAAAAATGTTTTTTTTTTTAAATTCAAGCTATTCTAATTTTAAATCTCTTCCCGGATACAATTAAAATATTAGTAATATAATTTTAAAGTAATAAAACATTTCTAATTGTATACGGGAAAGATTTATAGATTAGAATAAGGTACTTCAGGTAAGTTTTACATATTATTAGTGCAATTAAAGTGCCTATTTTACACGTGATTTGCTAAAATTTAATATAAAAAATATTTGTACTATAAAATTTATAGTATAGTATATATAAATTTAATTTACTATAAATTTTATAATACAAAATATATAAGTAAATT